CAAGTGAAGAGAAAAAAGATGGTGAGAGTCATGGAGATGAATCAAGTAGAGAGGAACAAAGTGAAGAAAGTGAAAGTGAACAATCGGATGAAAAAGAAGAAGAAGGTATTGAATCCTCTCCAAATTATGTTAAAATCATTTCCAATGATAAGTATAAGTTTAAGACCCACTTGAGTGTGTCTGGGTCTTATGATTCAAGCATCAATGCGAGAGTTGGTTTTGGAGCTCAATTTGTTGAGTTTAGAAAGATTTTAATCGCACAAAAAATTGAAAATGATTTTAAAAAATCTTGTTTTGGTCACTTTTTGAAGTTGGATCAATCTGTAGCAGTACAACTTCCAATGAAGTTAGTACATGGCTTTTGTCTTCGTCGTATATTTTCTGAAAAGAAAAAAGAGGTTTGGATTGATTATAATGGTTTGCCTCTTTGTTTTGGCATTAATGAATTCGCTATTATGATTGGACTTCGGTGTCATTCCCTACCTCCTCTAAGTCAACAATTAGCAAAAATTGGAAAAGAAGGTGAAATTTTGGTTGATCTGGTGGGTCAATCTGCAAATGCTGCTGTACTCATAGAAAAGATGAGTGATCCATGCTTAGCCAAAAAGCAAAAGCTTGCTATTAGTATGGTTTGGTTTCTGCATTGTGTATTGTGTTCAAAAAGTGCAGAAAAGAAGATAGAAACTCATTGGCTAAAGATGGCGTCCAAAAAAAGTGTGTTCAATTCATATCCATGGGGTCGAGTTAGCTTTGATCTTATCATTAGCTATCTTTTGAAAGAGCTAGATTCAACCAAATCTCAGTATAATCTTCATGGATGTCCGTGGGCGTTCGCCGTAAGTAATTAAATTGATGTTTTTATTTTATAATTTTTAGTTAAATTATTATTTGACTTTATTATCTATACTAAGCTATTTTTAATATTATATTGTAGGCTTGGGCGTTTGAAGCTATTCCGGCACTTCAACGATTGGCCAAGGATTCTTCACCTGAAAAATCAATTCCAAGAATGATTAAAAGGATGGCTGGAACACCTGCTTACAAGACAAATATTGATCCTATTTATCAGACAAAAGAACAAGTAAGATTATATCTACATAATATTAGTAGTTGTGTTATGCAAAAGTTAAACAAATAGTGTAATTATTGGACAACTGAACTTGTTGTTCCGTCAACTATTCAAGTTGTCCAACAACAGTGAAAGTTGTAAACATACAACTTAGCTATTATTGTACAACTAAATTAGTTATGTCAAAAATATTATATATCTATATAATATTAATTGTGTTATGCAATATTGAAATACTACTGTAATTATAAGACAACTAAACTTGTTTCCACAACTACTTTAGTTGTCCAACAACAATAAAAGTGATTTCCACAATCACATATTACTGAAGTTGTAATTGGACAACTGATTCAGTTGTTTTTAAATTATGAATAACTTTTTTTTTTAAATGCAGATGCAAAATCAAGTTGTTCACCCTTTTCTTTTTCCAACAAACATAGAGAAGGAACAAATTTATGTTCAAGATATTGAGTCATATGAAGATAGTTCGGATCCAAAAATTGATGCTTTAAAAGAAGAGTTGGCACTTGTAACAGCTATACTGAATATAACTGTTGTTGAAGAAGGTCTTGAGATAACTGGTGGAGAGAATAGTGTTGCGAGAAATTATGAAGTTGAGAGAGACGGTGATGGCCAGATTGCTTTAGATACTTGTAGATCTTTTGGTGGAGTAGGAAGAGATGAATCATATTTAGCTGATCTTGGTAGGGGAAAAGATACCCCTGGTGTGATAAAAACAACAAATGTGAATGCCTTCAATATTGATTGTTGCTGTAAATGTGAAACATATTGTGATAAGTATGAAACTATTTTGAATGAAGTAAAATCTTTGTCAACAAATTAGATGGGCAGCAATCAAAGAGGACTATATATTCGAACTATGCAAGAAAATCTCCTTATACTCCTGCGTTAAAAATAAGGTTGGCCATGATTTCCAAAGCCAAAAATGCAATGAAGAGTAGATTGGAAGTGAGTTTGTACAAACCTCTTAATGTGGAGAAAAGAGAGATCTTTAGTGTCTTCATTAGCAAAAAGGAAGAGGAAAGAAAAATGTATTTGAATGGTAGATTTAATTATCAGGACTTGGTGAGCATGATTGATCCATATTTTTTGTTCGAGTGCAAGGTAAATACTACTATATTTTTAATTTATACAATAATTTATTGATATTGAATTGACTCTCAACTTTATTTTGGCAGCATGTTGATGAGATCTTGCCCCTTATGCGCAAGAGACAGATTTGGTATCCCAAGCACTATGACCAAACAGATCTTACTTTGGATCTAAATTTCTACAACACCTTGTATGATCAGTACAACAACTTGAGAGAGAAGAGTTTAGTGGATGGTTCTCCACCAATGCATGAGGCACTCACATCGTTTGAGATGGACGGTGACATACTCAAGTACTGTAAGGGTGAAATTCCCTATCCATATGGCCGAAAGTGGAATGGAGCAAAAAGAATTTACACCGTGATGAACATAAAGAATACACACTTTATTGCACTTGAATTTTTGATGGAGAAGGGCTTGATTCAAGTTTATGATTGCAATATTCATATGTGTGATGAGCCGACTTTTCTTACATTGATTTAGCCCATTCTCGAATTGTGGCCCAAACTACTCAAGCAAAGCGGGATGTTCAATCATTTGTCTGAATTTTTTTTGAATGATGCATGGTCATATGAGCGTCTAAAGAATGTGCCAAGTAACAATTCTCGTGCGACGTGTGGACCATATGCCTGTGTTTTTATTGATCACTTGCTTACTGGGACAGATATGAGTTGCCTTAACGACAATGAAGTGGATAATTTTAGGATGAAATATGTTGTTGTTGTGCTTGAGAAGGAATTAATTCCTTGAGAGAGTAGTTGTGTACAAAGTTGATTTTTGTACTTCATTGACAAAACATTTGGATCAATGAAATTATTGTGTTAGTTTTTAATGTAATTATTTCAGTACTTTGTGTTTTTGTTATCAACTACTTTAATTGTCTCTACAACTGATTCAATCGTCCCTGTAAGTGCTTCAGTTGTTCGTACCACTGGTTCAATTGTTCCTACAACTACTTCAGTTGTTCGTACAACTGGTTCAATTATTTCTACAACTAGTTTAGTTGTTCCTGCAACTGGTTTAGTTGTTCCTCTAATTCTTTAGTTGTTTTGCACAAAATTACGTAGTTTATACTTAATAATTCACAAAATAACTCGATCGATCTTTAATTTTTACTAAACGACTTAGTTTATACTTAATAATCCACAAAATAGCTCGATCGTTCTTCAATTATTGTTAAATTACTTAGTTTATACTTAATAATTCACAAAATAACTCGGTTGATCTTTAATTTTTACTAAACGACTTAGTTTATACTTAATAATCCACAAAATAACTCGATCGAGGTGGATAATTTTAGGATGAAATATGTTGTTGCTGTGCTTGAGAAGGAATTAATTCCTTGAGAGAGTAGTTGTGTACAAAGTTGATTTTTGTACTTCATTGACAAAACATTTGGATCAATGAAATTATTGTGTTAGTTTTTAATGTAATTATTTCAGTATTTTGTGTTTTTGTTATCAACTACTTTAATTGTCTCTACAACTGCTTCAATCGTCCCTGTAAGTGCTTCAGTTGTTCGTACAACTAGTTCAATTGTTCCTACAACTACTTCAGTTGTTCGTACAACTGGTTCAATTGTTCCTACAACTACTTCAGTTGTTCGTACAACTGGTTCAATTATTTCTACAACTAGTTTAGTTGTTCCTGCAACTGGTTTAGTTGTTCCTCTAATTCTTTAGTTGTTTTGCACAAAATTACGTAGTTTATACTTAATAATTCACAAAATAACTCGATCGATCTTTAATTTTTACTAAACGACTTAGTTTATACTTAATAATCCACAAAATAGCTCGATCGTTCTTCAATTATTGTTAAATTACTTAGTTTATACTTAATAATTCACAAAATAACTCGGTTGATCTTTAATTTTTACTAAACGACTTAGTTTATACTTAATAATCCACAAAATAACTCGATCGATCTTTAATTTTTACTAAACGACTTAGTTTATACTTAATAATCCACAAAATAACTCGATCGATCTTTAATTTTTACTAAACGACTTAGTTTATACTTAATAATCCACAAAATAACTCGATCAATCTTCAATTATTGTTAAATTACTTAGTTTATACTTAATAATTCACAAATTAACTCGGTTGATCTTTAATTTTTACTAAACGACTTAGTTTATACTAATAATTCACAAAATAACTCGATCGATCTTCAATTATTGTTAAACGACTTAGTTTATACTTAATAATCCACAAAATAACTCGATCGATCTTCAATTATTGTTAAATTACTTAGTTTATACTTAATAATTCACAAAATAACTCGATTGATCTTTAATTTTTACTAAACGACTTAGTTTATACTTAATAATTCACAAAATAACTCGATCGATCTTCAATTATTGTTAAATTACTTAGTTTATACTTAATAATTCACAAAATAACTCGGCTGATCTTTAATTTTTACTAAACGACTTAGTTTATACTAATAATTCACAAAATAACTCGATCGATCTTCAATTATTGTTAAACGACTTAGTTTATACTTAATAATTCACAAAATAACTCTATTGATCTTCAATATCAATGCGAAGTAATCTTAATAATTATAAAAATTGTCCCAACAACTATTAGAGTTGTTAGACAACTATGCGAAGTTGTTGGACAACTGTGAGAAGACGTTGGACAATTAAAAAGTTGTTTAATAGTGTGCAGTTAATTGAAAAACTTGACCCCTTCAACTGTATCCGTTGTCCAACAACTTTTGAAGTTGTTGGTATACATCTAATAAAAATCTTAACTACATAATTGTTTGAACTAATCATAGCATCTGTAAATACATGTTATGCATACGATAATAACTCATGAAACTACACCATTACTTGTTCCTGCAACTTCATTCGATCTCGTAGGACATGAAGTTTTTTTGTGGCCAAATCTTTTACATAGAGAGCATTTATTTCTTTTCTTTGAAACCACTTCTCCTATAGTAGGTACTCGTTTCAGCCGCTTCCTTCCCAGTTTAGTTTTCTTTTCAGGTGGAGGTATTACTCTCTCTAAAATTTCCAGAGAAAGATTCCAAAATTCTTCAGCTGGTACTGGATAGATTGGATCTGCATATGCAAGTATATATGACTCTACCTTATAATACGGAGAAGAGTACTCATAAATCATCTTGCCATATTCATCTCCAAATTTGTGTCTGAGCGCAGCCATAGCATGTTGACAGGGTGTTTTATCCAAGTCAAACTCTCGACACGAACATATTTTACTTCGAAAATGGACCATTGCGATTTCATTGTCCGCGGTGACGCTGAAGGTGTCTTCATCAATTTGATGGACCAATAATTTATTTCCCAGATTCTTATTAGCCATTATTTTAGTTTCAGCTGAAGGAACGAATGTGGTTTTTAACTTGGCGTATGCCATTCTTCTCTCATGAAATTTTTCCGACCATCTCTTGCTTATATCATTGAACAAGGCAATAATGGGAAATTCTCTTGCTTCATTGAACATTGCATTAACTGACTCAGCAATATTTGAGGTCAATACATCATATCTGAAATATAAAAATTCAAAAATATCAAAAATTAAAATACAAACTATTGCAGATTTTTAATAACTATTGTAGTTTTGAAAACAACTGTTTTTAATGTCCCACAACTTCTGCAGCTGTTGAAACAACTATGAAAATTGTCCAACAACTATAATAATTGTTCCAACGATTATAATAATTGTCCCAACAACTACAATAATTGTTCGAACAACTATACTAATTATTCCAACAACTACAACAATTGTTAGAGACCTGCAATATTTATGTTTGAACTAGTAAGAAAGTTTACCTGTTTCCTGGAAAATATGCTCTACTCCATTTGTGAAACCCAACATTTTCAAGATAATCAGCGACCTCCGCATTGATAATTCGGATTTGTTCAAAATGGTCATGGAACACATCTCTCCGATATGCTTTTGTTGCATGGTAATAATGTCTAAGAAAAGCTCCACAATGAAAATTTTTACGGGCATTTTCACCAAGATGCCTCGTGCAACATCCATGGTATGCTTCAGAGTAAAATTTTGATAGTGTTTTTTCTATGCCTGGATGCCTATCAGAAATAATGCACAACTCTGAAGTATCAGGGACTATGTCCAACAATTTCTCAAAAAAGTACTCATATGCGGCATCACATTCCTTATCTACTACACAAAATGCAACAGGAAAAACATGATTTTCTGTATCCTGTGCGACAGCAGATAACAAAACTCCATCATAACGACCTCTTAAGAATGTTCCATCAACGTCTAAAACTTTTCTCATATGCACAAACCCCCTAATCCAAGCTCCATAAGATGCAAAAAAATATTTGAACCTTCCCTTGTCATCAAGCTTTAACGATGTCTTGCTTCCTTCATTTATAGTCATAAACATATGACGATAACCATCTAGAACTGCATATCCATGCTCCGATGTCCCTCTTATCATAGCCTTTGCTATATCATTGCTTTTCTAACACTTCCGGTAGCTAATCTTGCAGCCCAAATCTGCTTGCACTATATTTTTTATGTCTTTTGTGGAGGGACCTTTTCCATTCAAGTAATTAGGTTGTATGTATTCTGCAATGACATCTGCTGAGGCATGTGGATGATGACTTGTAAGGTGTTGTGCCCCACATGAGTGAATGTTGCGATACTTTGTAATTTCAAATCTATTACAACTTTTAAGTTTTGTAGCTCGCAACCACCAATCACAATTCTGATCTACACATCTAGCACAATACACATCTTTAGAACTCTTCACAGATTTGAATGTTTGATCTTTCTTCACAGAAGCAAGCTTCAACAATTTAGTTAATTCTTGCTTGTCCTTGAAAATTTTACCCTTATAAAAATCTGTGTCGTCATCATCTGTGTAGCGGCTACCTTGTGTTGATATCGAATGTAGTGAAGCTTCCTCATTTATAGGAATCCATTGTAACATGATGCTCTTCATCATTTACAACTGAATTTGTAATCTCTATAATCTTCTCAACCACAGATATCCTTAAAATTGGCCTACTTTGATCATCCAAAAAAAATCGCAAATCAAGATCGTTTCTTATCCTAGAAGGAGCTCCTTTTTGCTTTTCAATAATGCCAAGCATGTAACTAATAGAGAGATCATTTTTATCACAATCTAATTCAAACCTAGAAATAATGATGTCAACCAATTCATCGTACGTAACATTCTCGCTTATCTTTATCGGTACTGTCTCTCGGCCCTTCGAACGCCAAGTATAACGAGTAGGATTCTCCACCCATTCACCATGTAAATCAACTCCTATTATTATATGGTCTTCCATAGAGGGAAACAATACCTGGAGACATCACAGGTAAGACATTCATCAAAGAACTGCAAAATTGCAAAAGAACATTGATTACTTGTTTTACATCTATTTAGTTACCTCACAACTATCAACAATTGGCATAAAAGTTTAGTAGCTTTGGAGACTGCTATAATTCTTCAATTATTTATTTCAACAATTAATACTTTGCCCACAATTATATTACTTGTCCTAAAAACTAATCCGTTGACCAACAACTGAACACAACTGTCAAACAACTGCAGTAGTTGTTGGGACAACTTCTATAATCGTCCGATAACTACAGACAGTTGTTGGACAACTTCTATAATCATCCGATATTGTTAGACAATTTCTATATCTGACAGAGATGTTTATTTATTTCTACAAACAACTTCAGCAGTTGTCCAGACAACTACGAAAGTTGTTGGCTGAAATAATCAAATTAGATTTAATAAACCTAGCTGAAGAATGGACACAAAGTAATTTTTATACTTATCAATAATTTTCTTTTGAGTTAATTTCAAGATCAAACGGAACCAATGCAATGCAAAAAGTTCAAAAATTTTTGGTATCCATTTTCACAAATTTTCTTGATAGATCTTCTCATAAACCACATATATGCTTACAAATTAAGAATGATGAGGATGAAGAAAAAGAAGAAGAAGGGAATTGAGAAGCATACTTCAGCCTCGTTGAAGACTTGGTAGTTGTCCTTCAGGCTCGTTGTTGAAGACGCTGCAGGTGAGAAAAAAGTACCGCCTTTTTTCTTCTCATATATTTTAGTGAAATTTTAGGTATTTTGAGGTAAAAAATATAGGGTAAAAGTGTAAAAGTTAAAAGTTTGGGGCTGTTGAGGAAAGATTTTTTAATTTCATTAATATTAATTATATATTTGTCACTTCTACCTAATATTTAAAACTTGGAGGACTCCTACCTAATTAACAAACTACTTTGTCACTTTTAATACACTATCCCGCCGACGCCTCCCAAATTAAGAATAGTCTGAAGATAAATTAGGGCTAATTAGAAATTCGGCTTAATGTTTAAGGGGGTAATTTTTTGATTTTCTCAAAATATTATGTATTAACTATTAAGTACACTTCTATTTCTGATGTATAAAAATGACAAAAGAATTTTTTTCAATTAAATGGTATTTTCATTAAAGATGTCAATTTTAGAGAAATATTTTCATTAAAGATGTCGATTTTAGAGAAATAATGTCAAGACCTATTTACTTTTTCCAATTTTTTTTTTAAAAAATAAGATTTTCCTTAAGTATTGTAACTATTACAATTCTATAAATATAAACATTCCTTTAAGATTAATTAAGAGTTTGTGATTTTTGCTTTATGTAGAAATTAACTTAAATTTCATGTAAATAAGGCGTTATAAGTTATTTTCAAAACGTTTTAAATGCATATATTTAGAAGATTATTAAGTTTTTATATTACCTTTTGACTTATTAATAATGTAAGTATGTGTGAGTATATTTACATACATAAACACAAAACACACGCAGGACTATAACATCTATAGCTTTGTGCATAATTCATAACTTAATTTTGATATTCATCTAGTTCAAATAAATGATATTTGGATAGAAATGAATTATTTGTTGTAATAGAATGTCCAAAGGTTTAAATATGTATAATTATTAAATATAAAAAGTAAATATATGAGTCGTCAAATAGATCTTGAGGGGTTAACAATGATTGTGATGGAATTGATAATATATCTACACCTTTAATTAGTTAGAGATCTCAAAGCATTGAAACTTCTTATGATAATATTAGAAAAATACTATATTTCGACATGATTATTTATCATTATTTATTAAAATTCAAAGACACATGTTATTTCACTTTGCATCTTTCCTTTCTCTTTGACTTATTAGCTTCTTCATATTGACTTCTCACTTTATGTTTAAACCACATTTCTTCTCCCTTTCCATCATCATTTTCCTTTGTTGAGCTTGATTTCAAAAAGACAAAACATTCCAAGTGCATAAAAAAGAAATAGCAAATATATGATAATAGTCGATCGAGAGATAATTCTATATCTAAAGAATTTTACCAATGCAATCTTTCTTGTCTTCGATGATTATAGATATCTTTTGGTGCCTGTTAATTACATAATTCAACATCAAGTGTACCAGGAATAACATATTGTTGTAGATTGATTTGCACATTTTCGTAAAATCCTACATGAAAACAGTATTCTTTTCTGTTATCAATCTCCCACAAGTGGTTCAAAGAGGCACCATAACTCCAAGAAGAATCTTCAAAGCTTCAACTCATAGCCACATTGACACTCGGTCTTTTCATAACAATGTAACAACATATAATGATATCACTTATTAATCACCTTTTTTTACGCCTAACAACATAATAGCTCACGATAAAAATATGTATTTTAATAGAGTCACTCAGCATTCCTTTATACGCCAAGTTTAAATTAATGTAATCATCTTTTCTCGACAAAAAATAATACTAATAATATACTAACTATAAATGGACAAAGGCTAAAAATACCAGTAAAAGGAAAAAAATAATTGTAAAAGGAATGGATTATTTATTTATGGGAAAAGGGCCTGATATACCCCTCTACTTTGTTATTTGGAGCTGATATGCCTCTCGTTATGAAAGTGGCTCATATATACCCTTACCGTCCTACCGTTACAAAATGAGCTCACATATATCATTCATGTAACGGAAGTGAAAAAATTAGTCTTAAATTTATATTTTTGACTTTTGATTTTTTAAAAAAAATATTTAGGATATATGATTTTTCTAGCAAATTTCAAGGTATATTTTAATTTTTTTTGGACACAATTTTTTTTTTGATCTTTTGATTATCATTATTTGAGTTTCTTATTCTTATTTTATTCTTTCTTTCATTCCTTAGTATAAAGAAAAAAAATTAAAACTATTTTTTTTGTGGCTATATTATAATGTAATTTCGTTTTTGTATTTGAAGAAAAAAATTGGGTCATCTATAATAAATTTTACAAGAATATTAACAAAACTTAAATAAATTTGACCATCAAAGTAATTGTCACGACCCGAGTCTACACCATGGACGTGGCCGACACTCAAGAACCATTGTTGGTCCCCAAGCGAACCCTCATCATGGCTGACTACAAGTTGAAGACTAACTTAAGCATAAAAAAGCTTAAAAACTGAATAAATATTCATGAAACTGAAATACAAAACTTTAACTCAAATGAACAACTTAGAATAAAAATAATATATTTGACTCGCCATAAAATAAGCAACTTAAGTCTTTAAAACATTTAATAAAATAAATGAATAATACTGACTTCTCAACTATACTGACTATCTATGAAACCTTTAACTGATAAAAATGGAAGTCGGGACAAGACCCACGACATCCTAACAACTGATATAACTGAAACGTAAATAGAATCCTCCGGAAGCAAGAAGGCTCACCATAGCTAACTCGAACTCTCAGATGTATCAACGAAGCTCCTGTTGATGATCCTGAATACATGTGTCTGCATCATGAGAAGATGCAGGCCAAATGACTCAGTAAGAGGAATTTTAAAGCATAAACATAAGCTTGAACTTTAATAAAAAAGAGACATACTTACCTCTTTTCAAACTTACTCAACTCAAGGAATACTCAAGGATACTCACAACTACTTAAACTTACTCAACTTAGAAGTACTCAAGGATAAGATACTCAACTCAGAGAGTAGATACTCAACTCAGAGAGTAGATACTCAACTCAGAGATTAGATACTCAACTCAGAGATATGATACTCAACTTTGGATACTCAACTCAATATAAAGCAACAATACACATGCAATATATAGAAAGCCTTTAAAACAGTAGAAAACAACTTAGTTCGTTAAATAAAATGCAATAACAAACTCAACTTTACTCATATAATAAAGTAATATAGTTTCTGTAGGAGATTCTCTAACCGACAACCACCACTATGAGCATAAGTGGTGATACACATCTTGCCCACGCTGTCAGAACTGTCCTATACTTTTCCGTCATATAGAACGCTTAACTTAGTGGATCCACTAGCTTAACTTATGTGATCATCTAAAAAGTATGACCCATTAATACCCATGATGACTACATGGTTTATGGAGACTTGAGTTAATATGAACTTGCATCCCCATATCGGTGCTCAATACTACTCCCAAAAATGTACTTAGCTCATATGTTTTAAAAATAAACTTCTTTGTTTGGTTTGAGATAATTACTCAAAACTTAACTTAAAAACTCTCTTGGAAACCATAGTTTCCTCTTTATTGAAAAACTAGCTCAAAGGCTCTTTTGAAATCTCAGTTTCCTTTCTTGTTTAAATGTGAAAACATTTACTCTTTGGGAATACATAGTCCCGATATACTCTTTTGAAGAAATGAACTCAACTCTTTACTCTTTACTCTTTGCTTAGCTCAAAACTTAAGTCTTAACACAAAGTTAAAACGTTTGTAAAAGACTTCTTAGAATATGGTTCATGCCGAATTATGGACGTGAACAACTCAATGCAAGGTTCTTCAATAACCGAAGATAGAACTCAATACTTGAAACTCAAGAATTTCAATAATACTACTCACTTCAAGAATGCTCAACTCGGAGGGTTCATGCGGAATTTATAAGCATGAACTACTTAACTCAAGGACTCAAAGATACTTCTCGTCTCAAGACTGTTCGACTTATAGGGTTCATGCGGAAATATGGACATAAATAACCCAACTCAACGACTTTATGGATAACATGTAATAGTCCCATGATTAGGAATGAAATCTCAAATGGGTTAGAAACTCAATACTTAAGACTTAGGACATGAAGATATTACTCATCTCAAAGATACTAAACTGATGGAGTACATGCAGAATTAATAGGCATGAACGACTTGAATCGTATGTCTACATAACATTATGGAGCTCATGATACAACTCTTCTCATTCTCATACTTACTTCCTCACAACTTAGTTCAAACCAATAGTTGATCTCAAAGGGTTCACAATTGAACTCAAATACTTTCTTGAACTCTACTCTTAACTCTCTCTTGAATGTGAATTATGAATTCAAAAGTTATATTTCATGATATGAAGAATCTAGGTGATAGTGTAGACTCATGAATACATTATCCTCACTCTCATTGTCACTTACTTGAGTCTTGAAACAAGTTACTAGAAGTTGTAGAAGACTCCTCAAAAGGGCTCAAACGGACTTTCTTAGAATGTTCGAATGAATGCTCAAAGCTTAACTCTTTAACTCTACCTTGAATTTGAATTATGGATTCAAGGCTATGATCATGTTAGGAATGATGTTAGGCGTTTAGAAGTAGCTTAGAGTAGTTAGAATCGAAAATGAGTGAATGTGCACTTTAAACGAACTCAAACGAGGTAAACCGACGACAAACTGGAGGGGCTGGAGACCCTAGGGCTATGGGTGGCGCGGAGCGCCAACCTCTAACATTCAGAGGAGGGTTTGGGGCGCTCTGGCAGGTGCATCGCCCCAGGCCCCCAACCTAGAAAATCTGACGAACTTCTTTGCTCGTTTTTTCACCCTAACTCGCCTATAATCGAACGATTTATTCCCCAATCACTTAGAATCAATTACTTAACATAAGTACTCTCTAATCTACTCAATACATCCCTTAAAACACTCACTTTGATCTCAAGAAATCATCCAAAACCCAACACAACAAGATTTAGAATGAACTTCAAGAACACCTATCAAGAACTTATTAAGAACTCTAATCTTTCAACTTCAAGAATGAAATTTGCGCTGAAAATAACATGTTTGGTGTGTGGGTGAACAAAACCAACACTATTGAAGCTTACATACCTTTTAGGGATCATACCCATGGCGAAAATCTGCAACAACACGCAAGAATCTCGACGAACGCTTGATCCTCTCCTCTTTTCTCTTCTTGAACTCTCAACTAAAACCCTAGGTGTAAACTAGGATTATAAAACTGAACCTAATCATATTAGACCCCTAAAATATTACTAAAAATTAATTAAATCTGATTGGGTAAGGAAAAGACCAAAATAACCCTCTAAAATCCGGTTTTGACTTTCCTTGACTAGCAGCTTAACTTCAAAAGGCCATATCTCACTCATCCGACCTCGAAACTTAGCAAACTTGGCGGCGTTGGAAAGATAATTCAAAGGTCTTTCTTACGGTATCTGGTATCACACCTAACTCATCTTAAGCTAGAAGTTATGGTCGTTTGAAGTAACTTATACTTAGCTTAACTTGCAAAATTCCAGATTTTGCTATTTCCAATTTAATTCTTTTTGGAACTCAAGGTGCTACATCTAGTGACCTTAACACTTGAGAAATTTTTAATTCCTTGGTAAAATCCTACTCACAACGAAGGATGGTTCAAGTCTTAGCTCAAAAATTTTCTGGGGTGTTATAGTAATAAATCTAAATTAGTCATTGAAACAAAATAAAGTTTTTTAAAAAATAATATATGTTTGAGGAGGATTAAATATACCCATATGGGATTATATATATTTTTAAATAATTAAAAAAATTAAACTAAAATTAATTTTTTCACTTCCGTTAGAGGAAAAGGGTATATGCGAGTCATTTATATAACAATAGGGATATATATAAGCCTTTTTTTATAACGAGGAGTATATCAGTTCTAAATGACAAAGTTGAGGATTTCCTTTATTTATCGTAAAAAGAGAAACCCCTAAAAATTGTTATAGACAAAAAAGGAGAAAAGGATGAAATTGTCATAAAAGGGAAAATCTTGAAAATAACAAAAAAGAAAAGAAAAGGAAATGAAAACCTAAATATGTTAAAGAAGGAGCCGAAAAACGAAAGAAATATTTATTTATTTATTTATTTTTATATAAGAAATATAGAAATACACAAATGTCATTAATTCTGTGAATTATAAAAGAGTTTAATTTAATATATATATATATATAGCCTTTGTTCAGCAGGTTTCTTCCACCTCTCAAATCTCTCTCTACACAGCTTCCATTTTTCACCATTGACAAAAGCTTTGTTCTTTGTTCAGGTTTGCTTCTTTTCTTCGATCTACTCTTGTTGTTGTCATTTTATTAATTTAGTTATGATTTTTAACCAATTCTTTTTCTTAATTCTAGCTCCCCTTTACTTTTTCTTGTGTTTTGGGGTCTATTTTGTGCAATTCGTTTTTTTTTTATCGTTCTTGATATCTGGGTTGTTGATTTTTGTACTTGCCTTGATGGGTTTTGGTCCAATTGGGTTTTGGTAAATTAGTAAAAAAGAATCTTTTTTGTGTTTTGGTGAATTTGCTGATTGGGTTTGGAGTATAATTCTATTTTTGTTTTTGGGGTTCTTTTTTATTTTGTGGAAGTTAGTTTGAATTAGGGTTTATTGGGAGTTATCCTAATGTGGGTTTCCAGGAATTGTAATAATTGTGAATTAGAATTGTCATTTTATTTGGAATATGTACCAATTTTTGTTGTTGCATTGCTTTCTATGAAAGAAATCCTTGTCGTTTCTTTGAATTATTAATTTATTATCTATGCATATGGATAAACTGGAGTATACAATCCAAGGATATTGGTTCAGCGTTTTGTGTTGGGTTTACCTTTTGTGTTTAAGTCTGTGAAAGTGGGAAAATGAAGATTTTTGTGTTTATATTAAATGTGGTTTAATCTTTTTTGGATGGAAAAGGCGAAGCTTTTAATAGTTTGGTGGGAGTTGTGGGGTGAGAATGGCTTCAAGTGCATCTGAGGAAGCAGGTAGTGCAAGGTCTTTGGAGGGACTGTCAAATGGGCATCAGAGATGCCAATCTAGTGAAGCGTTGGCTGAATGGAGGTCTTCGGAGCAGGTGGAAAATGGGATTCCATCAACTTCGCCTCCTTACTGGGATAGTGATGACAATGAAGATGCGGGTATGCTGCTTGCCATTTTCTATGCTTTATTTTTCTTTCTTTTGAAGTCTTCTTTTGATTCTTGAAAGACACTGCTTGCCATTTTTGATGTTTGCTCCATACTTTTTATTCTTTTAAGATCTTTTGAAGTTCTGTTTGGTTTTTTGAAGTTGCATAGTTGAGGAATGAGTTTCAGGAGACTGGTATTTAGTTGAGGGAAGTTGCACCATTCATAAGATAGATTGGCAGTTGCTTGCAGTTCTTTAATTTTGGACTTACCTGCATCCACTGTTTTTCTTTTCTACAAAAGATTGTGTGGAATCATTGTATACTTATTTTTGGATTGATATCTCCTTTCCGTTTTGGTGTCAGAGCTCTGAATATGAACGCTTAGAGTTTGAGTCTTGTTAATAGTGGTTTAATTATTTTAATTTTTTGTTCAGATTTACTAAACTGCTCACTTTGAAGATGAACTCTTAGAATATCAATTAAATTGATTGCTTATGAACTATACCTGTCATTGGTGGGTGGACTTTCTCTTGGTTTGCATGCTAGACTATATCAGCTTTCTACAGGAATAGGATTGATCCTTTGTTTTTGTTTTTGTATCGAGGGATCCCAGATAATGTAATCTACAAAACTATCTCAGTGCTTGCTCTGTTTCAAAGCTATACTTATCATTGGTGGCCCTTATGGGAATTTCTCGGTGATGTGAATTAATTATCCGGTTCTAAGTTTGACAGGGTGTTCAGTAATCTGTTGTTTGATAGAAAACTTGATTGATTTTTCGTTTTAAAAATCCTTTATTTATGGGAGATTTTAAATCTTATTACAGGATTGAGGTGGTGGTTATTTTGTTTTTAAATCAATGTAGAAATTTTCTTCTTGAAGAAAGTAGCTTGTTGATTGATGTCTATAACTCTATATATATTGTTTCGAAATATGCTACAGGCAGGCTTTTATAATTTATAATGAGTCCTCATCTCAAAGTGTGTTCTTCGTATTCATGTTGTATCAACAAGAATAGTTTTTGGGACAGGCTTCGCCATCTCATTTCAAAACTTGCCTAAAACTGCCTGCTATTTAATAGTAGACCAAACCCACGTACATGCTTCCTTCTCCTAAATCAGTTCCATAATTCTCTATCCAACCTCGTCTACATCTATATGCTTTTATATTGTCACCAAGTCTGCTGATAATGCATTCCAACCTCTTTTTGATGTCCTCTTTCAAGTTTGTAAATGTAAAGTGAACAAGACTAGTGTCTCAATGTATAAGTTGTAGGAGGTTTCAATGATCAAAATATAATCTAGGAGGTTTCGTGACCATTGGTAGTGCTACTGCTATCTCAGACCTAAGAAATAATGTGAAGTAGATACTACCTGAAGTAACTTCTTCTCCATGGTGGAATATGGTGTTTCACAATTGTTATCTCATGAGATTCAATTACACTATAATTGAAGAGTAGTTTGCTAGTACAGCTCCTTTATTCCGTCTTATATTTGATTTCTTCATTTTGGGGTGGGGGCTGATGCCGTACTGTTGATAAAAAGAAGTAGAAGTAACTAACCATAACTGTTTATCAACCTGATTTCGATTATGCATGTGTTTCTTAATTGGCATAACTGAGACTGTGAGTTGCGTGTGCTTCTAGGTTGTGAGACTACTACTGATATTTCTTCAGAAGTTTCTTCCTTACACTTCACCATCTCTGTCCTTCTGTATCCTTTTATGTGCTTATTGTGGAAGCCCCTTTGTATTATTTATTCAGTTATCCTCGTTTATTGTTCTTAGGACCTAAACCTTCCGAGCTTTATGGGAAATATACCTGGAAGATTGATAAGTTTTCACAAATAAACAAGAGAGAACTTCGGAGTAATGCATTTGAGGTTGGAGGCTACAAATGGTATGATATCCTTGGGAAGAATTTATTTTGACACATACTTGTTTGGTGGCCCTTGCATGTGTTCTCATCCTTCTTTTTGATTGGAAAGGATTTTATGCATTCTCATCTTCTTGTAGAACGAGATATGTATTGTCCAATGAGGCAAATTCTGCATGTCCAGTGTGTATCAATTTCAAAAACTATCTGCTGATGCTTTTGATATGTCTATGGTTTCCTACCTGGATAAAGTTAATTATAGTGGGAAGAATTGGACTTCCCTATTTTCTACCGATAGAGTTAGGAAATAAGAAGTTTGCGGAGAGTTATTTATGTGCGTACTTTTAAGTAGTTTGGATCATGTTACGTTGGTTTAGAAGAGGAGCCAGGACATAAGAAAGAGAAGAGAAAAGGGTTATTCCCGGTGCTCTCTTTGAAAATAAAATCAGATGAGCACATAACTCATCTATGTAATAGAAAATTGCGGAGTATGTTGTTTATATGTGCATATTTTGTTTTTGGTTCGGACCATGTTAGGTTTGGATAGATAAGGAACCAGGAGTAGGATGTAACAAAAGAGAAGAGGAAAGGGTTTTGCGGTGCTCTTGTTTGGAAGTAAAAGCAGAGGAATGCGCACCTTGTGCAGTCATCTTTACAATCCTATTTGAAGTTGGATGAACGTAAGGAATTAAATCCATTTTTACTTCCTGGTGCATACTTAATAGGTGACGTGTGAAAAGTTAGGAGCCTTGTCCCTGCATCCCTGCACTACCTGTATTTAGAGAGAGATTGCATGACTCCTTACACTGTTAGTTTACTCTTAGAAAATAGGCTGACTACTGCTGGAGTTTGATCATTAGGTTATCCATTTCATTGATGTAGAGGTAATCGTAGACACTGTTATCTTGCTTTCTGTGAAGTTTTGTAGTTTGGGTTGTACCAAGTTTGATATTCTTACACCCTTAATGCACGTTTACTATAATCTTGTATGCTTGTTTATTCCTCTTATTATTGAATGATAATTACCAGTTCAGGAATTGTAAAATTACTGACAAATGCTTGATGTGATTAACTGATTGTGGCAGGTATATTTTGATTTACCCTCAAGGATGTGATGTCTGCAATCATCTCTCTTTGTTTCTGTGTGTGGCTAATCATGACAAGCTCCTTCCAGGTGTGATAATGTTGGTAATTCACTCCAAACCGTCTTCAAAGTGTTATTGTAGAGGTGATGTTGATATTTTCTTGTCTTTTGATAAGAACAGGTTGGAGTCATTTTGCCCAATTCACTATTGCTGTGGTGAACAAAGATCCTAAGAAGTCCAAGTATTCGGGTGGGTAAACTACATTTGGTCTTTTGCAATGGATCTTGAAAAATCTTTGCATGTTCTTGTTAACACAATTGCAGATTTCTGCAGATACACTACATCGATTCTGGAAGAAAGAGCATGATTGGGGTTGGAAAAAGTTTATGGAGCTTTCAAAAGTTTTAGAAGGGTTTATTGATGCTGATACCCTCATAATTAAAGCTCAAGTTCAAGTTATCAGGTATTTTATCATTTTAATTTGTCTATATTTCATTTTTATATCAATTTATGTATCTTACATTACCTATGGCATGGTTGGCTATAGCCTAATAGCATGAAATTCCACCACCATTTGCTAGTCTATTTATGCGTTTGGTAAACACCAAAGTCCAAAAGTGTTCATATGCCAAAATCAGTCAAAAGCCATAAGTTGGTCACCCCAACTTGACTTTTCAACTTATAGGCACTTTTGGTTTGCCTAAGCCTTTACTATTTTCTCTCTCTCCATTTTATTTCTTTCATTCATCCTATTCCAAATAAAAGTATGTTCAAATAAATTCATTGGAAATCGCTTTAATGACATTTTAGTTATTTTAATAGAGAAGTGTGTATCAACACTTCTTTCACCAAACACATTAACGATTTATTATCAGTTTCAATACTTTTATCCAAACACACAAGTATTTATTTATAAAATCGGTTTCACCACTTTAAAGTGTTTTTCAGCACTTGATATTTATTTTTAATCATCTAACCTACATGGACTTAAGTTAATGGGATTCCTCTTCGTGCTTGGAAGCATTAAAAGGACTAGTTGGTTCAACTTTTTCATTCAACATAGGTTTTCACATATAAAAATTGTATCAGACGGAATGAGGTCAACATGGATCTGAACATGCCATAGATGTTTGACTTGGACACACTGACATAGATTTTCTATCAGGTGTTTGACACAACACAATGGATTTTTGGTTTTCAATATTTTTCTCTTATAGCATGTATGGGTTTGAATGGAACTGAAACACATTCTTGTATCAAAATTTATGATTATAGCCCGTTAACTTTATAACTCATTATCTTTTCCTCGCATAGATAGTTTCAGTGGTGTTACTAGGATTTGTATATCTCAGGAAGAATGAGACGCAAAATAGGAGTTTCAAACATGCTGATTTCATAGGTATTTGTTGGTCAAACCATGAAAAGAAAAGAAAAGTTGGGAGATCAATGATTTGTGGAACCTGTTTGTTGTATGTCTGGATGGGTCATGTTAAACATTGTTCTTAATTCTTAACATGGACATGATGATGTGTAGAAATGTCGCTATTTTGTATATATTAGAGTTTGAACCCCATAGCCACTTGCACGTAGGTAGACCTAGGAGACATGTTAGTCTTTTTATACGAAGAGTCAAAGACAACATTATTTTGTAAGTTTTGTCTATCTTTTAAGTTATCAGATTAACTTTTTTATTCAGTTTATCCATCATCCCATTATTCTTGAGCATAAAGTGCTCCTTTCTTTAGAATAATCTGTCTTCTATAGTATTGAGTATACTAAGCTATTTCGTAGATGTCATGATGGATCTCAAATGGTGATCCTGACCCCATTCTGCCTATGCTCTTTGTTTGTAGGGAGAGAGCTGATCGGCCCTTCCGTTGTCTTGACTGTCAATATAGGAGGGAGCTTGTTAGAGTATATTTAACCAATGTTGAACAGATCTGCCGCCGTTTCGTGGAAGAGCATCGAGGAAAACTTGGAAAGTTGATAGAGGATAAAGCTAGATGGTCGAGGTAAGGTGTAAAGTTTCTCAATTGTTTATCTGGTTCTTGATGTGATTCTAGATGCAAGAACAATAAGTTGAACCACAATCAAACAAGCAATACAAGATAACAAGTATATGATTAAGAAATAGAAAGAGAGGGGGAAGAGATTTAGAAGAAAGAAAGGATAGTCTAGCAAATAAAAGACATAAATTACTAGAACAAATCCTCCATAAATTCACACAAAGATTATTTCTCTATCTTCAAACTTAGCTCACCCTAATATGAAGACTTAAAGACTATTTATACTAGTCTTGTAAAAAGAGGTAAACTACAAGAATGATCCAACATCCTTGATGACCTATGTGGTTGTCATCACTTCCTTGATTTGCATCTGGTTTTAGAGACTGTTAGATACTAATAGCTATGTTTTGTTGTGTCTTATTTAGATACTTCAGTTGTGGTTATGAATATGGGTAATATTTTATATTGAATGACATATTTGTTCCCCTTAATCCTCATGTAGGTAATGCAATATATGTTTGCTTTGGATTTGTGATTTTTTAGCATTTTGACATAACATTCTGACTTCTCACTTGACATGGAAATTCAGTTTCTGTGCTTTTTGGCTGGGAATGGACCCAAATTCTAGGCGCCGAATGACCCGGGAGAAATCACATTCGATTTTGAAAGTGGTGGTCAAACACTTCTTCATTGAAAAAGAGGTTACATCTACTGTAGTGATGGACTCTTTGTACAGTGGGCTTAAGGCTATTGAAGGCCAGACTAAAGGAAAGAAAGGGAAGGGGAAATATTTGGATGCAGAAGAACAGCTGGTTCCTATTGTTCGTTTGGACAACGACATGTTTGTCTTGGTGGATGACGTCTTGCTATTGCTTGAGAGGGCTGCCTTGGAACCGCTGCCTCCAAAGGATGAGAAAGGTCCCCAAAACCGTACAAAGGTAAGTCACAGAATTCCATGGTTGAAGCAGTATTAAGAAATGCTACAAAATTATGGCTTCAATTGCACCGCCTACTGCAGTTATGTTTTCCTTCATTGCTGAAACTATGGGACTCACGATTGATACTGTTGTTAGCAAGCTTCTATTTGTCTTTTCTATTATTGGACTAGGGTGTCTTGTTATTGCCACCCACAGATTTGTTTCCTTGTTTTAGCAAAATCTAGACTTAGCCCTTCTCTCAAGGTTTTATAATAGACAAATATGCTTCAGTAATATTCCCTATATGTGGACAAACCTTTCTTATGATTAATTGACATGTTCGGTTACATCTGAAGCTGCTTTTGTGGATAAGTTACTGAATGTGAGTAAGAATGAGATTGAGCTTTTGGCTAGTGGTAGAAGGAATTATCAAGTGATCATGCAACAAGGCTAATAATTGTGAGTGTACTTTGGTTGTTATGGATGATATTTGAACTGGATCCTATTTCAATGCCTATGATAACTGAAAGAATCGTGTATCACGTACTCCTCGTTCTCTCTCTCTTGAGGAAAAGAAGGGAAAGAAAGACAAGCACTTGTTCTTTTCTTCGCAGTGTATATCTATCCATTCTTATTTACTTATTGTACTATTCTTTGTTTTAGGATGGTGCTTCTGGAGAGGACTTTAACAAAGATTCCATTGAGCGTGACGAGAGGCGCCTAACTGAACTAGGTCGTCGAACCATTGAAATATTTGTCCTTACACATATTTTCAGGTAACCATCATCACTGTTGCTATTGAAATGGCTATCCACGGCTCATCTAGTTAATCTATTCTCGTCATTTAAAGTTAGAAGGTCTAAATAGGTTCTTTTACCTCAAATTCGGAAGCAGCTGCATTTGCTGCATTTATGTGGAATGATGTTGTACATTATGTCAAGATTTGTGTTAGTTTTTGATGGTTAACAATGACCTGATTATACTGATAAAACAAAATTTACCATCTGTAGTAAAATAGAGGTTTCGTATCAGGAAGCTGTTTCTTTAAAGAGGCAAGAGGAGCTCATCCGTGAAGAGGAGGCTGCTTGGCTGGCTGAAACTGAGCAGAAAGCTAAAAAAACATCTGACAAGGAAAAGAAGTCGAAGAAAAAGCAGGTACATGTCCTTCTGCATATGTTTATAGTATTTGATTACACAGGTAAGATATGGGAACTATATTTATTTTTAATATGCCGGAACATCTGTTTAAGTGAGGCTACCAGATCAGTGTTAAAAAGACTCCTGTATCTTTTACATTGTCTTTGTTACCTGGTGTTGCTGAGTCCTTGCATGGTATGGAAAATTAAAAATTACTTTGCCAGCTAAGAGATGCTGGGCTTTAGGTATTAAAGTTTGAGTTTCTGTTATCAGCTATTTAACTTTAGGGGACGAGAAGCAAAGTTATCCTTTGCTTGGAGTTCTTTTTATGCACAAATTGTGGTTATAGGTAATGCTGAAGCAAGGACCTCTGTTGTGTCAGCTCAAGTATTTATCTTTAGTTTGAAAGAAAAGTCTTGGCTTTCAATTATTGACATCATTAATGTAGTTTCTATGCTGTATTAGATTAGATGATTGCATATTCTTCCCTTGCACCACCTAAATTTTGTTTTCTTTAGAGATATCATCATCAAGCTTGTCTGATTAAAGCTGCTTGTGAAGAAAGACAATGTTCTCCATGAAAATGAGAAGAAAACATGTGTATAATAGCAGGAAAAAGAAAAGAAAGGAATAACAGAAAATAAACAAAATGAAAAAAGATTAAGGAGAAACTAACAAGAATGTGCTGAGGCAGATTAAAAGTTGTAGATTTTGCCAACTAGTTTGTGCGCAACTCTTAACTGTCCATTGAGGTTTAGTGAACATATTTATCCTTTTGCGCCACCTGAAGAAAGTGCTTTGTGTAGAATATTGTAGATACACTTTATCATTCTTACCTTGTATTTCAGGGTAAACAGAAAAAGAATAATCGCAAAACGAAGGATAAGGGAAGGGATGAAAAAACTTGTATAATTGAGCAAGAGAAGAGTGAACAAGATGGGTGTATTCTAGATGGAAATGATTACGAGATTGAGAAGTCAGAGACAGCGCTGGAGAAACCAGATATGCTGGAAAATGGTTCGGATGTTTCTGATTCAGTCGATTGTGTCCCAGAAGTAAACCACCTTGATTTTGAAGACATAGGTGCATGTCCTGTCAACTGGGATACTGACACCTCTGAAATGCATCCTTCCACAGAAATTAACTGCTGTGGGTTAAATGGCCTTTCAGCTGCACAGAATGGTATTTCAGGAAGAAGTCTTTCTGTTATCGATGATAGTTCGTCAACGTGTTCTACAGACTCAGTTCCTTCAGTGGCTATGAATGCGCCTTACAGAGGGACTTCTTCGAACCATAAAAACCAGAAATCACCTAGCAGGTAACCTTCTTAAAATTTTTGGGCATCGATAAATATCTTTTATGTTGTCTCTGGTTTTTCTAATTGTTGGTGTCTCAACTTTTCAGAGTGGTTAACCACAGAAGCAAGTCAACCAGTAGTACGACTGACTGGGCTAGTGAAATACATAGGCAGCCATTAGATGCTCTTCCAGATATAGGGAAGCTAACTAATACAACTGTAAGTCGTAGGGCAACTAGATCCGAGTCCCAGGCTATAGCGCATTCGCACGAGTGGGAAGTGCTGAAGAAGGTTTGTCATTTTCTCCCATTATGCATTCACCTCTTACTCCACGGAATTGACTGGGTTTCATCCTAGTAAAGAAGCTTTACTAAGGAATGCGTGTTGTAACACTTAAAAGCATATTCATGGATCTTTTTCTTCTTTATTTTTTTGGGTGGGGGTGGGGGTGGGGTGGCCTGTCCCTATCTTTCAGTGTTTCCTTCATGTTTCTTTATATAGTTAACAGAAAGAGGATGAAAGAAACTGAATAATCTCGGAAGCTGAGTGTCCGGTTCTTCTTCCTATTTTTGGAGTAAAACCCCATGTATTCCTGAAATATTGATGAACTGACTAGTTCTTTTGCTCTAAGCTGTTTACCTTGTAAACGGAGGAGATATAGAAAGTGTGCCATGCTTGATTTATAAGATTCTATAATCCATATGCTCAATTATTCTTTCTGCTAATTGTCATTTTTGGATTTTAGAGGCAACTTCTTTACTGTGGATGCCATGATTCTGCTTATGTTGTTTTTCAGTGAATTCCAACTTTCATGCCACACTTTCTTGTATGCAGGAAGTAGTAGTTTCACAGCAGAGAAAGCTGAGTGAGCCTGATTCAGAGAGACCTCCCTTGGAGAAGCCACATGTCATATCTCATCCTAGTAGCCCTTTAAAAGGTGCTGCGTCTGCCATTCAGTTGAAATCAGAGCTGAAGGTCTTGGCCACAAGTGATCCAAACTCTTTTAAAAAATTGTCCTTGAACAGTTCTAAGCTGACTCATAAATCAACTACTTCGACTAATTTAGCCGAAACTGCTGTGTCCTTTAAGGCTGATCCTAATAAAGGTATAGAACGACAAGTGGCGGAGAAGCCCTCAGTGCATTCAGTATCCATTACACCTCAGAACTTCCAATCTCATCAAGTGACTGCCTCTGCGACAACGGAGAAGCCCAAACCTCAAGTTCCTGCCCTGTCCAGACCCTTGAATGGTCCTGTAGTACCTGGGCCTAGGCCTGCTGCCTCTGTTGTTTCTATGGTTCCAACGTCACCAATACTGGCCCGTTCAGTGAGTGCAGCAGGTCAATTGGGCTCTGACCCTTCACCAGCAACCCACAGTTATGTTCCTCAGTCCTATCGAAATGCAATTGTGGGTAATCCTGTTTCTGGAAATGCGACTGGTTTTAGTCAACCCTATTCTCCAAGTTCAATGGTTAACTGTTTGCAGCCATACCCTCAATCACCTTCGCGGATTTCTGGGCCGTTATTCTTACCACAGGGATCAGAAAGAACAGAACCTAGTTGTATCAGACCAAGTTATCCATATGGAATAAGTCATGATACCCTGCAGAATGGAGTTCAATGGCAGAGTTCCCAGAGGGATAGCAGGAGTATATCTCGGGATCATCCTTCTATACTAAACGAGTTTCAAAACTTTGATGTGTTCCAGCCTGTAAGTAGAACCCATGATCCCATCCCATCCGAGTTTCCAGCCTGCACGTCTGGACGCCAGTCCCAGAGTGCACTGGCTGATGAATTTCCACATCTTGATATCATTAATGACTTGCTGGATGATGAGCAAGGAATTGGAAGGACTTCGATGCCCGCCACAGGCTTTCAAAGTTATAGCAATGGGTCACACAATCTAAATCGGCATTTCTCTTTCCCTGGTGATATAATGTCCACTGACTTAGGTCCTTCAACAAGTTCCAATAGGTTTGAGCGAACACGGAGTTATCATGATGACATCCAGCATAATTTTTATGAAGGCCCTTCAGACAGTGCAAGGGATATGATTCGTCAGCCTAATCTGCAATTTATAAGTGGGCAGATTGATGGGTTAGTACCAAACCAGTGGCAAATGATGGGTTCTGATCCATCTTCTCTTGGAATGGGGACTGCAGAAAACGATCCCAGTTACCGGTATAACGTCCCTGACTACTCAAACATGTCTTCTGGTGGTGTAAATGGCTATAGAGTATATAGGCCTCCAAATGGTCTTTGACAACAAGCTATAGTTGGCTGTATTAAGTTGTAATAATGTACTAGAGGAAAGCATTTGGTATTGGGATAGTGGAGTGTGAGGTTGTAAGTTGTAACCCTCTGGCAAGTGAAATATTTTGTAAAGAGTGATTCTGCCCTTGTTGGTTTTTCTATATTGATTAGCTTTCAAAAATTTGGCTTTTCCTATAACTCCAATTGGGGGTTTGATGTTTTAAAAGTTTGGCTTCTCTTTCTTTTTAGTTTCCCATTCGATGTCCGCTATCCGCATTAGAGCCCGATTATTTTGAATTCGTGCTGTGTAGGGCTCATTTGGGGGAAGGACTCCCTACCAATGATTTTTCATATTCAGGGCTTGAACTCGAGATTTTTGGTTAAGGGAGGAGAAATTCCATCTGCTGCACGACATCCATTGGGGGTGTTTGGCCTTCTCTTTTATGATGATACTAAACCTTGATTGGAAACTGTCTATGGGGTAATATGGTAGCACAGTTTAATAACTAGGCCTATCGATCGTTTCTGAACATAGCTAGGTGAAATCTCACGAGATATATAACAATAATATAATATACTTAGAACTTGTTGTCAAACATTTCGTCATGATTCTATATTAAAGTACTACGAATTTTCTTCTATAAGTTTAAGCTATTAAAAGAGTAATTTTTTTACTTAATTATACTTTCTCCTTAATTACATCTAGGCTTGTATCTTTTTCACGAGTCGCACACGTGTAGAAATCTTCTTTAATAATGGGGTGCCGCTAATGTGGCGGTGAGACTCGAACCTTGTGAGTTGTGACCTACTTCAATATACCATATTGAATTATATGATTAACTCATCTAAAATTTTATTTAATTAATTACATATTCATTCAAAGCCAATAGCTAATAATGTATACAACTTAAAACTCTATTTTAATACTACATTTTCCAACCTAACCTTCTTTAAAGTGTCCATGTATTTGGATTTGTAACAAATTTAAGGAATACCAACCTTCTAATTACTTCGTTATTCTTACCACGTAACATTGCCAAATCAACACTTAATAACAAATTTTGCCAAAGTCAACTATAGAATAACAAAAATATAATAATAATATTATTTTTAATAAAAATAAAACATAGTCATTAGTCATTAAAACACGTTATGTTTTTATAGAAATCCCTTGCCTATAAATACACTCAATGACATCCCATAATCACAAAAAAACATTAACAAGAATTATGAATTCCAAGAGAAGATTCATTTCGTTACTTCTTATTGTCTTTATTATTTTAACTACAAATACCATATTATTATTATTATTAGCAGAAGGTGCAAGGCCTAATTTGGATATGGCTGAATTTATAGAGAAAGAAGCTATTCTACTCAAGGCATCGTTGCCACGAGGTCGAGTTCCACGATCTCGTTCTTCCCCTTGCACCAACATTCCCGGGCGTGGTCGTAGTGGCTCTTGCTATTGAAAAAAACGAATTCAGAATTTAAATTTTAAAATTTTGAGGTCGAGTTTCACAATCTCGTTTTTCTCCTTGCTCCAACATGTCTATCCACCACCGCAGTGAGTGACTCTTGTCATTTGAACATGTGAATGTTATCGTGCATCGGCAATGTCTTGAGACAAATTCAGAATTTGAATATTAGAATTATTGTATTTATTTAGTGAATTTGTTAAGTACAAGGTCTAAGTAGTGACTAGAATAGGGTTAAACAATTTTATCTTGTCCGAGATAAGTTTAGAATTTTTTTATCTTGTCCGACTTAAATTTTTAGAATTTTTGTCTTGTCCGGACAAAATTTATGTAGGAAAAAAAATATGTCTATGAGTTCTGAAATTGAACTTATGTCTCTATCGGCATAAAGTTGGGTAGAAACTAAGACATAACTTGTGTTATGAATTTTTTTAGTTATAACATTTTAATAAAGTGGAACTTGTGCTTTTATCAACTTAAGTTCCGTAGGAACTTGTTGGCTTTGAACTAAACTTATACTTTTAACGACATAAATTCTATAGGAATTAAGAGACATAATTTGCTATGTTTTATAAAGCATAACTTGTGTTATATTACGATATGAAAAATATAATCATTTACTTAGCAAGTTTCTTTTTGTTTTTTAAAAACATCAAAGATATTTTCGATTGCCTTTTTATTATTTAGTGAACAAAAATTAAAGATCACTACAAAACTTAAAGACCAACTATATTTATCCAATCACAAAGAACTTTATTATAATTACCAAATTACCCTTATTAAAATCACACTTGATTTTTCTTCAAGATAAGTAGGATCCAACAAGGTTAAAATAGAGATGACGCTGTTAAATACTCCCGCTGTCCAATAATAATTGTCCACTATTGACTTGACACACACCTTAGGAAACAATAAGTAATATTATTATAATATTACTATATTACCCTTTGAATATATTCAATTTAATGTTTTGAGAAATGTATTCGATATTAAATAGTATTGGGAAAAAGGACAAATATACCCCCGAACTATCGTAAATGATACGCAGATACTTTTCGTTATACTTTTGGGATATTAGTGCCCCTATTGTCCGTTAGTATAAAAGGTATATATACTCTAGTTTTTGGACGTCAGGGGCACCAATGTCCCAAAAATATGACGGAGGGTATCTGTATAACGTTTACTATAGTTTGGTCCTTGATCCCAATAATATTTAATACCAAGAATAACATTGATACAAAAGGTAATGGACAAGTAAAAATGACCGGATGGACGGATGGTCAAATAAGAAAACGTAATATTGACTTGTATATATAGTTGTACGTTTTCTCTTCCCACTCTAGCGCAAAGTGCATACTCAATTCTGCACAGTAGAGCCCCAAATGGCGGCACCCCAAATCGATTTCAACAGTGAAAATCAAGAACCAAAATCAAAGATTGTGTATTTAAACTACAGGCGAATGCCAGCAGCAATCTTTCGGAAGAAGTATTGGGATTGGAATAGCATGGTGGCGGTATGTAAACTTACAATGGTTGGAAAATTCTTTATACCTAAACCAAAGATGACTAAAATTCGTGTTAGTTTCCAGGCGAAACTCTCTCTTAAAGGGGTAGTGAAAATTAGGTCTTATGACTCTTACCATGTGTTTCTTGATTTCACTGCTGAAGAGGATTATCAATCTGTTTTGTTGAAAGAGAGGGTTGTTGTTGCTGGTGCAATCATGGAGGTTTTTCGGTGGACGCCCGAGTTTCATGATCAATTTGTGAGTTTTGTTTCTCCTGCCGCTTTAATTTTATTGATGGTGTTTGTTTGATTACTCAGTTGTGATGTTAGAAATAGGCTTTTTCCTATTTGGTGTGAAGAAATCACTTATTTCCTGGTATTTGATGAGTCAACGGGATATAAATTGAAAATATTTATATGTAATCTGGAGAAACACTATACGGTAGGTGGCGTCGTGGGAGAAAGGGTGATGAAGTGGGGCACGGGAAGGGCGAGTAGGGGGTGGGGTGAGTGGGCAAGGTGGATGGGGAGGGAGGCACTATGGCCTGGACACGAAGAAGTCGAATATGGTTCAACATCTACTATATATCTATAAAAATAATTTTAGTTATGTATAAACAATATAATGTTTGAGGGTTCGGATGAATCCCTCGACCTTACTTGGCTCTGCCCCAGAATGGGTGGGAGGTGGTGTGTGTGTGTGTGGGGTGAGGGGTTGGGTTTGGACGAGAGGTAGGGATAATGGGGGTGAGAATTGAGGAAGGAGAGTAGATAATCAACATTGTCTTGAATTTTGAAGAACTTGTTTTCTTAACAATAATATTTATCAAAGACCAACCAAACATGAGAAAGTTGGAACTCCTCCTCCATACCAAATACACCTTCCATTGAACCTATTTGATTGGACGAGATGTTAGACATGTCACTATATTTGTGTGGTTATGTTACAGGACTTCTGAAACTTGTATTACATATGACAACATAACACATGTGTTGTTATAGAAAAATGTCATTCAACGTAAAATGAGAAGCTTAAGTTAAATTCTTTTCATATTTAGAAAGGGTTATTCTTTGTTGAACAAACGAAAAAGGAAATATGATTACATAAACTTGAAAGGACGGAGTAAAATATTTGTTTTAAGCAAGGAAGGGTGAAGTATTGTTGGTCCCAAGTAATGTAAAGGAGGTGGGATGTGTAATTCGGCACAGGTCAAAAGTAATATATATATACATATATATATTTTTTTTGATGACTGTGGTGTTTGGGCTAGCTTTTGCTCACCTCTACTAATTCCAAGGAAACCTGTCACCTGCCACCGGCAACAGGTAGCAACAAGTACCAGATAATTTTATCCACCAAGGGTAGGACAAATGAGAAGAATCACCTAGTGTATTTTGTCTCTGCTGAGTTTTTAACTTGTGACCTCAGGCTTCTCAATCACTTCATTAACCACTAGGCCACACCCTTGTGTGCTTGAAAATAATTAAATTTTGATGAAACAGTTTGATTGCCTTAGTTATTTTTATTTCAAGTAAGGAACTCTACCTGGATGAGTTTGATTTCACTAAGTATAGTCCGTCTCTAGCTGTGGCAGAACCAGGAATTTTATAGAAGCAAATTCCTAAAAAAATATGTCACACGTGAGATAAGAACCTATGACCTAAAGCAATTTTTGAACCCTCTTTGCCACTTTTTCCTTATATGAAAGAGCAATTATACCTTTGCTTGGAAGTGTTGTATTGCAATTATAGGAGATGATGGACCAAAAAACTTTGTATGTGTGAGCTTTAGTATTTACAATTGTTCTACTATCTTTGGACTGAAAACTGAAGTTTTGGTTTTTAGTTATTGGCACCATTAGTGTAGTTTCTATTATGTATTAGACAATAGCATATATTGCTATTGTACTGCCTAGCTTTTGCTTTCTTTGGAGGTTTCATCGTTGAGCTTGACTGTAAAAGGTTTGCTTATGCAGAAATGTGCTGATCATTGCGAAAATATGTTGTAGTAATGCAATATAGAAATCTATCAATAAAATAAGTTAATGCAATATAAAAGTAGTAAATGTTGTTTAATCATCTGTCATTCTTGGGTACCTGCCTAAAAACAAAGATCTAAAAATTGAAGAATCAAATGAAAGAGAGGTAAAGAGAAAAATGACTGTTCTGGGATAAATTTTAACGTTGTAGCCTTTTG